AAAAAAAAAAAAAAAAAAAGAAAAAAAAAAAGGAAAACGCAATAATAATAATAATAATAATCAACAATGAATAAAACATATTTTTTTATATATATGTTTAAAAATAATATACTTATATATTTAAGGGGAAAGGGAGGAAAGGGAAATCCATCTTGTACTACCATTTCAATAATCAGCCTCTACGGACCAACTGTTCTCAAAGTGTCGTCATCAAACCCAGTTTTAGGCGTCGCCACCTAGGAAAGGGGGAGAGAGAAAGGGGTTATTTATATTATTTATATTTATTTATATTTATTTTATTTGGATCTTTAACTTCAATATTCATTAAAAAAAAAAAAAAAAAGGAAGAAGCGTGAGAAGGAGAAAGCGGTCCTCAAGGATTAAAAGGCACTGGAAAAAAAAAAAAAAAAAAAAAGAGAAGGGAAGCGGGAGGGAGGGGAAAAGGATAAGGTAATTACCGTTTAACTGGCCACAAACGTAACTCTAGATCCACTTCCATTACGGAATCACCAAACCAGTGAAGATCTATACTATACGTAAGGAGGAGTCAGTTAACCTATCTTCTCTCTTCTCCGCCGGCTTTTGCACAGATGAACGAACGAGCGAACGTGGTCCCTATTCCTCCTTCCAAAGCAAGATGCGAGATGGCTCAGACTATCAAGCAGTTCACCCTGCCGAACGGAATCTCAGGCAAGCAGATCATCGTCCACCACAGCATGAAGAATATTCTCGTCCTAGATCTGAGGGAGGCCACCCTATCGGAACCCGCCGCTGCGCACCTTCTTCGGTGGGTGAATTGGGGCGCAGTTTTCACCGAAGGGAGTCGACCGCGGCCAGGTTCCATTGATGAAGTGGTGAGCCATCTGCAAGGGGAAGCTGTCGGCTTCGTGCCGACCTCGGGCGGAGAGTCACAAGCTGATTTTTGGATAGTAGACGCTCACAAGTGGGCAGCAACCCTGCCTGACTGGCACTGGGCAAGAGTCTTTGCAGCCCACACCACGGATGGCATGGCCAATAGGTTACTGATCGGCATTCCTCGTGAGCGCACGCGCTCACCTCTGTCATACGACGGGCAGCATAATCAGGAAACTCGGGATTTTCAGAAGGCAGCCTTTTCGGCTTTAGGCTTTACATTAGTGGACGGACCAGTCACGGAGTCCCGCCTTGGGAGAAAACCGGTCATGGATAAACTGGATGTCATGACCCTCTGGAGTTTTTTCACTAACCTAGAGTTTTCTCGGACCGTCTACAGCGCCATAGTGCACTCACTACTGGAGGTACTGGCAGGCCTTACTGGTGACTGTTCGCGGACGGCGGAAATGAACATTTGGCTGTCAGCAGGACCGGAGGAGTGGATCAACAGGATCCTGGGGAAAACTGAGGTCATCAGATTGATTCACCAAGGTGATCAGAATTTTATTGAAGGTATTAAAAAAAAAAAAAAAAAAAAAGGACAAGGAAGGAAGGAAGGAAAAGGGAAAAGGGGGAGGAAATGAGTTGGGCGGAGAACGGAAGAAGAAGGGGAGGAGAAGGAATGAAAAGCAATTAGAGGGAGTAACCTGCAACTGAGCGTAGTTGTAGGTGTTAAAAGAGAAGAAGAATGACTGTGGACCACTCGCTGGATTCAAAGGGATCAATCATTTTAGCAAGCTGCCGACTCTCTGAAGGCACCTTCTAGCGAAGCACTATTCGTTAGAGGAAGAGGAAAGGAGTTGGGAGGAATGAAGGGGAAAAGGAGGAAGCTAAAGGAGAGAAAGAAGTAGACAAGGAAGGAGCGCGCAGGAAGTCCAGGAAGAAAGAGTAGCTGATTGTGATGATTTGTTGTTTCTGACTCCTTGCACCTCCTTCTTGATCGAAGGTGTTGTCTTACTAATTAGGAGCTTATCATGACTTCACTTTAGAACTTGTCTTTGTGAGGATTAAAATGCGAGGGCAATCCCGTTTAAGGTTGATAATAACAATGACGGCCAGCAGAATCATCGACTAAGCGAGGTTCTAAGATCAACTCCCCTGAACTCAGAGTTTGTTTTGTAATCCCTATTCTAAGCAGCTACCTGCCCTTAGCCTCAGGCTGTTAAGAGTGCTAGCTACCCAGCCCTCCTCTAGGTACGGGCCTTAGCTTGTCTCGCACCAAAGCAACTTCTTTAAGCTTTGGTAGACGGAGGAGGTTTTGGCTGTAGTATGGGAACCTTCTCCTCAGAAGGCTTTCTTTTGTGATCGAAGTCGGTTTAGAACCTTAGGCTACTCCATCTCTCGAACCCTTCTATATTTTCTATTCTAGAACAGTACCAGGTTTGTGTGTCGTGTACCTGTGAATTGCTGACTCGAGTTTTGACCTTCGCAGGAAGGACTCCTTTTGAAACCAACTAGACTATTCAAACCATGCAACCTTCGGGAATTTTCGGTCAGTTCAGGAATTTGCAGAACTTTCCTGCTATTTTGTTGCGTTTCAGAATTCAAGAATGTTCTCAGCTTGACGATTGTCAGTCTCAATTCTGCTGTCTTTTGAATAAGTACCTTCACCTCATCATTTCCTAGAAACCTCCCAGTTTTCAAATCAGTCCAAGAAGGATTAGTTAGAATCCATTTGGATGGTGGAAACCCTGTAATCTTCGGAAGTTTTCAATCACTCCTGACCCCTCCTACCGCTTGTCTGCAATTCGTATTAAGAACTGTTCTCAATTTGATGATCTCAGTACCCTCACCCTGTCATTATCTAGGACTGTGTGCTGTGAATCTGTGAACTACTGATTCGAGTTTTTCAAACCATGCAACCTTTGGGAATCTTCAATCAATACAGGGATTTTGCAGAACTCTCCTGATTTTTTTTATTTTTTTTTATTTTTTTTGCTGCATTCTGGACTCAGGAATGTTCTCAGCCTGATGTTGTCAATTTCAATTCTACTGACCTTTTGAGATACTCACCTCATCATTTACCCGGAAAGCTCCCAGTTTTCAAACTGTTCCAAGAAGGATTAGTTAGAAACCAACTGGACGGTAGGAACCCTGTAATCTTCGAAAGTCTTCAACCACTCAAGACCTCTCCTACCACTCGTCTGCAATCCGAATTAAGAACTGTTTCCCAATTTGATGATGTCAGTACCCTCACCCTACCATTAACCAGGATGGTGTGTAGGTATCTACGAACTGATGATTCAAGTTTGTCCCCTGTAGGAAGGTGTCCTTCGGAACCAACTGGTTTATTCAAACCATGCAGCCTTAGGGAATTTCAATCAGTTCACGATTTTGCAGAACTCTCCTGCTATTTTACTGCATTCTGAATTCAGGGTTGTTCTCAGCTAATGATGTCAGTCTCAATTCTGCTGACTTCTGGAATAAGTACCTTCACCCCATCATTACCCAGAAACTTCCCAGTTCTCAAATTGTTTCAGGAAGGATTAGTTAGAAACCTACCGGACGGCGAAAATTCTGCAATCTCCGGAAGTCCTCAATCACTCCGGATCCCTCCTACCACTTGTCTGCAATTTCAATTACGAACTCTTCTCAAATCGATGATGAGAGTACCCTCACACTATTGCGAGGCCACGCCCGCTTAGCCCCTACGGGCCTTATTTGCAGCAAGGTCGGCCGCCCTAAGTGAAGGCAGGCACGACAGGCCCTCAGGGCCTCGTTTTCAGGGTACCCCGCAAATGGGGAAATTCAGGCAGTTACACAGCATCAGTTGGTTGAATGAACTCACGACCTGGGCCGCATGTGTGAATGAATGTAAAGCAGGCCCTGGGCTGGGTACGGGTACCGGGCCAAGCACAGGCCGAAAGCAGTTGGGTGTATGCAACTACCTCAGGCCCAATGCCTGCATTCTTCGTGACTGGGCCTCAGGCTACCGGGGCCTACTGGAAGCTTCCTGGACTGGACGCAGGCAGGCCACTTCGATATAGGGAAGGGCCTGCCTCCTCATTCGACATTTGGGGGTGCAAGCTGCATGCTGCGACAGCACTGCTACGCTATTTGGTGGCTGGCGCCCTCGCACTCACGGGCGAGTGAGGAAGAAGCAGGCAGCCATAGCCACGCTGCCTGCTGTTTGCTAGGTGGGGCGCTGGGTGGTCC